CTGATATGGCTAGTCTATTACCTGATATGGCTAGCTGATATTGCTAGTTGATTAGCTGATATGGCCAGGTGATTACCTGATATGGCTAGTTGATTAGCTGATACGGCTAGTGATTAGCAGATATGGCTAGCTAATTCGCTGTTATGGCTAGCTGATTAGCTGATATTGCTAGTTGATTAGCTGATCTGGCTAGCTGATTAGCTGATATGGCTAGTTGGTTAGCTGATATGGCTAGCTGATTAGCTGATATGGTTAGCTGATTAGCTGATATGGCTAGTTGATTAACTGATATAGCTAGTTGATTAGCTGATATGGCTAGCTGATTCGCTGATATAGCTAGTGATTAGCAGATATGGATAGCTGATTTGCTGTTATGGCTAGCTGATTAGCTGATATTGCTAGTTGATTAGCTGATCTGGCTAGCTGATTAGCTGATATGGCTAGTTGGTTAGCTGATATGGCTAGCTGATTAGCTGATATGGTTAGCTGATTAGCTGATATGGCTAGTTGATTAACTGATATAGCTAGTTGATTAGCTGATATGGCTAGCTGATTCGCTGATGGAGTAAACATTATACAATTTAATTATAAGTTTACAACATTCATTTTTTTAACAAAGCCTTCTGTGGCAAATTATAGCATTATCTTGTTTTTACCTGAAATCTGTACATTTCTCCACTTCTTATGTTATTATCGACAGTTCCACCAAAGATAAAGATACCATCGTTAATTACAGCCGCGGCATGAAATAGCCTTCCGCTGGGTATCTACAACAGGTAAATAGACAAATGTATATGAATAAGTCTTTTTAATTCTTTTAAAGCAACAATATTTTTGCACATATTTTTCTTGTTAATTTTGGCCCAAATTTCACATTGGTTGACCATGACAAGTCTTTGTATATCTGGTTTTGTGAGGTGTACACATGAACCACAGAATAACAAAACTTTGTATATTATCTATTCTTGTGTGTACTATAAAATACTTCATTTTCGCTGAAGGAATGATTCAGTGACAATAAAACCCAGTGAATATACCTTTTTTCTTATATTTTACATCAAACATGTTAAAAATCAGTGAAAATAAATTCCATACAAAACACCCAAAATGTCCTTTCAGCAAAAATTAATTCCAGCTAAAATAAAGTATTTTACAGTAATATTCATAAACCATGGACTAACCTGACTGTCCGGAGATGGTATTATAACCTGCCATGTTTCACTATCAAGATCATAACTAAAAACAAAATTATATACACTGTATTCAATTAAATGCTGACTGTCATCTTGTGTAGTTGTGATGATAACAAAAAAATCTTTGTATATGATACATAAATTTATAGAATGCAAATTACATTGTCATCACCTTCCATATTTATTTTTATATTCATTTTTATATTTTGAGAAATATTGATTTAAATATTTAATTCAGATCATCCCATCTTACCAATGTAATTCATTAGGTAGTGTGTTATCAGCGGCGCCACCGAACACGTACAAATGTCTATCGTATGCTACCATTGTGTGTCCATATCGTCTCTGTGGTGGAGGGGGAGCGCCTCGTAAGATGTGTTCTGTGGGAATCTTTCTCCACCTATAAGGAGTAATAATTAAACATTACCACAAATCCAAATAGTCATTTTGTTACCATTTATCAAAAACAACAATTATACCATGATATTCTCTGAAGCGAACGTCCAAGCATTTTCACCACCTGACAACCACAACCGGTGAAAACAATGGGCAAAAGCATGCAAAATACTGTAATTTGGGATCGTTGTTGAGATTACCTCTACATGTACAACATATATAAATTGTCTCGTAGTTGAATTTTTGCTGTTTTTACTGGCTCTTCAACTAGCAACATAACAGATTCTGTGACGCATCTCTGCCCCCAGGAATAGTCTAAGGTACTACCGGTAAAGGCGATGGGAAATTCACACTTGTCACATTATACAAATTATATACACACATAGAATTTCTATAATTTGCTTTAAAAATTCTGATAACTATTTACAGAAAGTTATTACACAGCTTAAAATAAATGATTTTTGACACTACTGTCAGACCTGGAATTGACCAATACAAAATATGTTTGCAATACAGACATAACATTGATGTTGAGACATTATGAGCTAAAGCAAGTGACGTTTTTTTTCTGCATTGTAAGTGACACCAATTACCAGACAAAGTGAACAGTGCTCAAATGAAACTTCCCTTAGTATAAATCACTTCAAAAATGGTTTTTGATTGGTCAACAGATTTATCCATGTGATAACTAATTATTAAGTTAATGAATTAGGTATTGTTGTTCCAATAGGTTCCTTTTGGTTTACAATGATTTTATAACTTGCAATAATTGTTGACCCACCTTCTTTCCTTGAAGTAAAACTGGTAAAGATTATTTGTAATTTTAGCTCCACTCTGTCCTGAAAACACCAACATAGTATCCCTCGCTACGGCAACAGGGAAATTACAACAGGTTGGTGGATGATCTCCTGATTGCTGTACCTGTGAAGAGACAATAAATCACTTATCATATAACACAAAAACTGTGGCATTCTGGGCCGCTTGTTGATGATTGTGACAGGTCAGTATGATCACATTATAGTCAGAAAATGTTACTGTAAAAGACGGAGTCAGTTAGAATTATCATTCAAGCTTTATTTTTTTTACTTTTCAACTCTTGAAATATTTTAAAAGAAAAAACAAAAGCAATTTAAAAGTCTGTTAAAAAAAATTTCCATTCAGTGAAGAGAAAATCATACTACCGGTAGTGACATTGAGGACAAATAGCCCCAATTTCAATTTTTACTTGCAAATTTCACAACAAAGATGACCACCTATCAGACTTCTTTGATGTGCATCACATACTAAAGTGAGATAAACAAATATAGACTAGATCTTGTTTTATAACTATTGCAGGTTTGTATGTGATAGAAGAACTTACCTCCTCCCATGCTTTGGGTTCTCCTGTTAGATTCAGAGTCCACATATCATTCAACCTACAAATAAAACAAACTAACAGTACAGTCATAAATATATAATAAATTCTCCTCTTTAAAAGAAAAGTTATATTTTAAATAAAAATAAAGATATATCAAGTACGTTTTTGCAAACACCACTTATGATCGTATTATTTGGCACCAGCAGCAATTATTAATTCTTATAGGAGCTAATGACCCTAATCTCAATCAGTGAAGATTTGGTAGAACGGCTAGAGTTGCATCTCGCCAAGTCAGTAGTTCAAGACGATTGAAGAGACATTTCGGTACACTCTCTGCTGGATCTTGCTGATTAGGGATATGGAGACTGGCACTGATAGGTGACATGCTACCAGTATATTGCCATGTACATAGCAGTAAATTAACATGTTCTGTGCAAACCTTGATAGTCAGAGGATAGATACATGTGCATATCCATTACGAAAATACTGAAAAATACTTACAGTCCGATCAATACAAAAAAA